TCACAAAACACGAAATCGATTCCACACTTCGCTACCTACACATCAAGTACATCTCTACCATCCCAGGTCATCACCTGCTGTCCTGAAATGGATACCCCACATCATGTCGCTATGTCTGCCCCCTTCGCAAGATCGGCTCTAAGGCAATACATCCCCGAAGACCGCTCACAGATGGCAACCTTGAATGAAACAACATGCAAGACCGGTCAACTCTCTCTTTCAGCCATTGAACAGTCGATACCAAGAAGGTGTCTTCTTCTCTGCTCACAATTCTTCCTTCAGCCGAGCTGCAAGACAAGAACTGAGAACTTAGATTATCCTCTTGCGTCGGCATCAGGTCTAAATCTTTCGAAATATTCTCACCATGGCCACCGCTTTAATCTCTACTCTCGTTGACCGACGGAAATACCGGACGCACCCGAGATTGATCTATGCCGCCCTCTGACCCTGTCGGTGGACACGTTGACGACGAACAGTAGACGTCACTCAAACTACCCTGGTGCTCTGCCGTCACGCGCGCGATCTCTCTTCTCGTACGCCTTCGTTCTCACGGTTGTGAAGACTTACATCCATGATTCGGGCATTTCCTCTGTTCACATTACCCCGCTTGACTTTGAACGCGCCTCTCCATTACCGACAACACTCGCTTGTTGTTGCTCACGGAAACGACCTTCACACGGTCTGCTCCCGTGATACTTCCAAACACCAGTTTCAACGTGTCGCCGAGACACGCTCAAGACGCTGGCCTATTTGGATGGGTCCGGACATGTTAGGAGACGACCCTCCTACCCTTCACTCCGGTCCCCATGGACCAGGCGAAGCGACGTTGACACCTACCGATCCCGTCGCGTCATGCCCCTTCCTCACTACCTGACCTCGCGTGCCCTTACTCAGGTACCTACCGGTCGCTACTCCATCGTCCAGTTCGAAACCTCATCCTTGCTCCCGCAGATCACTCATGCTGAAGCGCCCGTCAAAATGCCATAATCCCTCTAGTCCAATGGTTTCGCGCTTTTTGCACCCGCGATGCTGGCGGCTCTCTCCTACCTTCACCGGAGAATACTCTGGTGATGGTACAGTTTGGCAACTGTGAGTTGAGTCATTCGTCGAAGAACCCATGAGGGTTCAGGTTTCCACGCCAGGCAGCGTGGAAGGATAGGGATCAGGATCGTTGTCCTCTTTTGCGTGCGGCTGCTCGACAAGAAGTACTTGTACCGGTACCCTCTGTCCTGTTGAAAAGGACGTTTTAGAAATCACAATTAGCTGGCTCTTGGCTACCGGTACCGGTATATAGTAAAACAGTAGGGGGACCGGGACCGAGGTGAGGTACTCATTGTGGAAGCCTCGCTCAAGTTTGTTCTTCTTCAGCACCCGCCACCAAGTAATCTTTGAAGATCTTTTTTCCAAGGCCGTCCGCATCCTCCTTCGTGACATTAGCACCCAACATGCTGAGAGCCTTAGTTGTTGCAGCCTCTATCATCATAGAGTCTTCATCGCTTTCCTCATTGGTGTGATTGGGAGTGTCTTTCCATTCCATGTTCACAATGGAAAGTTCTTCCAAATACACATTTGTTTGAATGAAAATTTGTCTGAAGGTCTTCTCAATGACATGATGCGTTTTCATGTATTCGTTCTTGCACACGCAGTAGGCCCCGCGCACCACGCTTCTGGTGGCAAAACGGAGTAACGTGTCAGGGGCTTCATTTTCTGGCAAGGCATCAGATGAAAGCATGTCATCAGAAGTCATAGAAGAGATGGCCGATGACGATTTCTTTCCTCCCGATGATGGAGAGCTAGCAGCGGGACGTGATGGAGCGAAATCAGGGGAACGTCCTGGAGAGCTGGGACTCGGAGGTGAGTAGTTTCCGTCGAATATTGCCTTCTCCATCCATCCCTGAACAAATGTGAAGCAGTGTGGCAACGTTTCCTTCCAGGCGTCGTCGAACTGGTTGACAATCTTTTGCAACTTTTCAATCTTGTTCTCGCTCTCGAAATTCACCACAGACTCAAAAAGTCCAAACGTGCTGTCGCACACAAGATCGTCTCGCACAGCTGGTGCTTTCTCGTCATCGGAGATGGCAAATTCAAGAAAGGACTTCAACTCAGGTGCCGATATCGTAGCCCAATTGCAAGTCCTCTTCTTGTTCTTCCTTTCTGACTTTTTCGCCTCATACACCCAGTCTACCGGTAATGAGATTATGGGGGGGTTAGGCAGCAGCGCGGGGGAGGGAAAAAGAAAAAGAAAGGGAGAGGGTTATGCGTTGGATTCCCAATTCCCAAACAGCGAGCCAGTCAGCACACTTCCGGCACTGGAAGTCACCAACGCATTCTCATCTACTTAAAGGAAACAGGGGAAATGGCAAAGACCGGTCTTTCCCCCATGGGTAAGACGTCCGAAGAACAAGAAATACGTCATAAATGGCATCATCATCGCACTGGTCTCACATTGGCTCCATCCGTTTTGAATGAAGGAACGGCTACTTTCTGGCTTGGCTCGCTTCTTTTCCCTTTCCTTCGCTGGGACCAAACCCTCCCATAAATTCAAATCGCTGGTAAGTGTTGTTTTGGTGTTGGTGTTGTTGTTGTTGTCGCTGTTGCTGTGGTAGCTGTTGTTGTTGTTGCTGTTGTTGTTGTTGTTGTTGTTATCCACAATGGTGACAATGGCATGCTACTAATGACTATCCTATGCGCCGTTCTTCTACCATGCGTCCACCGATGGAACGATCGAAGCGACCGAGTGATCAATCCACAACAACCAGCCGAAAGGGTGGACCAATCGCGCAAGACGAACGAGCAACTGTCGACCATGCGAATCTCTACTAGTAAAGGCTTCTCGAACTGGCTGCAAAGTGTCAACAGATACCCATTCAATGAGCTGAGGGCAACAAGGCATGGATTCACCTGCAAGTATGTCATTTGTGGGTACAACAGCGACGAGGAGGACAACTTCTGTTTGCCCACAACAAGCATGGAAGTGACGGTTCTTGAGGAGTTGATATTGCAAGGAGCAGGCAAGCCTCTTCCTCCTGATATGACAGGCATCATGGACTACATGTTTGAATGGGGACGCCAGGATAGTCCACAATGGTACCGTGCTGTTGTTGCTACCCTTTCTGAAATGCTGGAGGGTCCACATCCCTGTGAAAGGAAGGACATCTTTATGGAGTGCATCTATTGGTTAGCAAAGGATAGGATCACTGAGGAGTATGACTTGGGCTCCATTGAAGGCCAGATTTGCATGGATGCTTGGCATGGGTATTGCATCCAGTGGTACCAACCCAAATTTACCTTCAAGGAATACTGTATGATGAATCATGAGTTTGTGATGTTGTGCATGGAAGACCTTCGGTATCATGGAGGCCTGAGACCCCAATTGGCTATGTTTATTGATGGCAACAACCAACAAGGACTTTGAATGTAAGTTACTTGCTAAATTAGAAATGAATCGGATGTACCTAAATATTTATTGCTGTTCTTATGCCAGATATCCATTCAATCGAGTTTGACAGGTGGCATCATGAGGTGGTCTTCCTCTCCTGTTGGTCAACCACTGGCAGTATCTCTGACAGCAGCCATTCGGTGGAGGAGGTGGCTGGAAAGGATATGGCAGTATGGGTTGGAATTGCCGCATTTGCATGGCAAGTTGCATCATTTGAATTTGTTGTTGTTGCTGGTATAGAATCAAATTACCAACATAAGCATTTCTTGTTTGTGGCACTGCAGGTGGTGGTGGTGGTGGCGGCGGTGGTGGCGGCGGTGGAACCATTGCTGTTGCAGTCGGTGGATCGATTGCTGGTGGATTTGGTGGCTCGATTGCTGGTGGAGTCGGTGGTTGTGGTCCTGTACAAGCCACACACAAACAACAATCATTTGGTGCATACTTCTGCCGCTGTGGTTTGAATGCAACAATGAACTCTGAGAAGAACCTCTCTCCATTATCCTGTGGCAGTGGCTCTGCAGTAGGAAATGGTTCATTGAGACCCACAGCCACTGCTAGCTCATTGAGGTAAGCCAACTCTGAATGATTCCAGTAAGGTACAACCTTTTCCCATCCGGCTGGAATTGACCTCCTCTCTGCCAGACTGATTCTTGACAGGAAGGCTCTCTTGTGTCTAATCTTGAGGTTGTATCTTGCAGTTCCAGCCAGGTTGAGTGCATCAGCAAGGCTTCTTCTCATTCCACTATTGCCAAAGTGAGCAAACTTGTCGTGGAATGCTTCTAACTTGGATTCTCCTCTCCTTGATAGGTACTCTGGGAGGTTGTGCTTGGAATTGGGTGATGGCTGGATTGTGTCATACATGTCTTCCAGTGCCAGGGGATCAGCCAAGTGAATGGCTTTGTCAACACAGTTTTCTACTGCTGGTTTGGTATCAGAAGTAAACAAGGTATAGTTTTTGACTGGATCCAGTCGCCCTTGTCCTGGCTGGCTACCATCACTGGCTGTCACCTTGTACCTGCAGAACCACTGCTGCAACCTCTGCCTCATTGTCTCTGGTGACCTCATCTGCTTCCTTAGGTATTTGGAGTACCTAGCTCTGAAGAC